ATACAAACAAGGGGTTCACTGTAATCGAAAATAAAATGATAATACAAATACTATAACGAAAATAGGATTTCAGAGAATAAAACAAGTACAAATATAGCATTTCTGATCAATAACTTCCTGGATGAACCAATTGTAGATTGCAGAAATCTACGATCTACAGTATTTGGCTAGAGCCCACGAACAGATGAGCACTGTAGATTTGGGCGTTTGGTTTGTTTTTTTTTAGGCTTACACCCCACGACTTGAGCATGAGGAACCTGAATCAAATGAGATTTTGGGCTGTTCGTGTTCTGTAAGACCTTACAAGTTCGCACAAGAGTCAGGCATGGAGACTAAAAACAAAATCAATATTACAATTAATTCACTAATGTCCACATACACTTTACTATGGGTAAACTTTACGTCTTCACCGACTCCCAATAATCTTTATATAAACAGTTCAAGAACTCAAAAGACAGTATTTTACTTAGATGAAGTGAACAGGTGTAGAGATCGGAGCCAAGTGGCAGGTCGTGCTTTCGTGGTCGCTGAAGTCGATTTGTTTCGGGTACCGTGAACCGTTCGACGAGGATACGCAAATGGTTCGACTTAACCACCTTTACAGAGAATCAACATCACCAACCCTGGTGTGTGTGAGTGTAAAGGAAGGAGCACAGAGACAAAAAGAGACAGAGAGGAAGAGATGAGACGGTCTGCATTAAAATTCATTGAGGTGCAAGAGAGAGAGAGATAGGCTGGCAGGCAGACGTGACACAGATATGTGAGATATGAGGCAAAATCCAAGATATTTCCGAGTACTTTGATATGTGAAATCGAGCACCTACAGACGCAGCCAAAAAAAAAAAAAAAAAAAAAAAAAAAAAAAAAAAAAAAAAAAAAAAAAAAAAAATCGATAGGCATTGCATCAACAATAAAAAAATATCAGACTGTTTGACATCACATGCGAAATGCTGCAAAAAATAACTTGTGTCACAAACGACGAAAGGCGATATTTTTACAGATCATCTCTTAAATACTAAACGTGTAAAGACAAATAAAAGCAATATGAAACAACGATAAAAGACGAAAACACTAGCCTTATTACCTACAAAATAACATTAATGCAAAAAAATGGGTAGAGGAAATACGACCGTTGTGAGTTTCACTGCACAGGCGAGATTATAACAATTTTTGGTTGGACTTAATGCAGCTACATGAATACATATTGGAGCCTTACCAAAAAGGACCGAGGTTTGCCTGTGTTGGTAGGGTACACGGCCACTCACTCTCGGGAGTGATCCATACTGCTCGCCCGGGTGCTTTGGTGCTGGGTTCCCCCTGCTGGTTCACACCTCCTTGGGACAACCTGGACGTCCAGGCTCCCCAAGGACACCCAGATTGATGCCGAGCTTAGTGCGGACACCAATCACATGAGAAATCCGCAAGCAGTGATCCCCACCTCAAGCAATCCTGCAGCCAAGCTTCCGAGTGCAGGATTACAGAGGCGAGCCACCAACCCCAAGCCATTTTGGAAGGATATTAAGATCATTTGAATAACAGTTGTTCTTTTTCTCCTTGATAAGGGAGGGGTGGGGGGGCTACAAAAACACCTTATATTAAAACCCATTGTGCGTTTAATACTCTGCCTCACTGTCAAACAATTAAGTGCTTGCAATCTGAGTAAACATAATAAAAAACAAGTATTCATGATGTAGTTGTAATGAAAATTAACTGAAAAAAAGTTGGGTGTAGTTGAATAGTTAGCATGTACTACATTCATTTATCTATGTATGTTTGTATATACAGAGATATATGGGTATGTAGATAAAAGGTATATACTATATAAGCTGTAATATACTTTCTATGACAGTAGAGTGTTCGTATTAAATAGAAAATAGATTGATGACCACGTCATTTGGGAATAAGATAATTTTTAAAACCATTTTGTATGGTACTGCCACGATTTTACGGACCACCCAGTCACAGACAAATGATCATAAAAAGTAACTGTAGCGTATTGGTAGATATGATAAACCAATTACATATATAGATTTAGAAATGTATCAGTGATAAATAAGGTTGTGAACATTGGATATAGTCCATAAATCAAGAGAATGCTGAACATGATGAGACATCTTAATGACAGAAAACAATACTGCAAGCTGACTTCACGGTACTGATGTTTACCACTACATTACCCATTTCCAGACTCTGCAATCCAGCGAAAAAGCAAAAGAACCAAGTCTGATCTATTTGGAAAGGCTATTGCAGGACGCCGCTTACTCTCGGTGTGTCCCAATACTGCTGACACGAGTGATTTTGGCTGCGGGTTTCCCCCCTGGCCCAATACACACATCCTTAGTCACACTGGACGTCCCTTGGTTCCCCAAGGACACCATTATTGATGCCGAGCTGAGTGCGGACACCCAATCACCATGAGAAGTATGCACAGTGATCCCCTCTTCAAGCCATTCTACAGCCCAGGCCTCCAAGTCGCCGGATTACAGAGTCGAGCTACCAACCCCAGGCCACTAGAATTTGGTCTTAGCTGTATGTATTTACAATATTCAGCAATTCATACTCAGTTCACCAACCAATCTTCGCTCCTAAGATAGTGTTAGCTATGCATTGATATAACTATCGCGGATGGAAATGTGAACTGACATCAAATTAAGGCGAAAGAAGTTTCACACCTGGTTAAATCATTAACAAATGATATGTTGAAAGGATCTCTCAGTAATTGATATCTTATTGTTAGAAATCTCAAGTTGAAGGCAGAAGGGAGGATCAGCTTTTTGTATGACTTTTATTAAAATGAGTAAGTGTGAATAGTGATGTCGGATATGAAGTGTTTATTTCTATTGTTAAGTATTCCATTTTATATTGAGAAATCAAGGTTTGAATTATTGATTTGGGGACATAGATGATATGTAATGGATTAATTGGTTTTCATTGGCTTAGGATGTTTCAAATGGGAGGAAAGACATATTAGAAATTGAGACGTCACGACTGATTTACTGTTAAACCGGGACGTTCTCATGCACATCGACCGTTGGCGGGGTCGGTGGCTCGACTCCTGTCATCCGGCGAGATCGGAGCGCCCCCATGGGCTGTCAGGAGGGCTTGAGGTGGGGATCACGGTACAGTACTTCTGATGTGATTGGGGTGTCCGCACTAAGCTCGGACTCCAATTGGGTGTCCATGGGGGAGCATCGACGTCCAGGTGGGACTAAGGAGGTGTGAACCAGGCCAGGGGGGCAACACTCAGCAGCACCTAAAAATTGCACCGTGTCGGAGCGTAGGGGATTCACACTCAAAATGAGCGGCCTGTAACAGCCCTGTCAACATAGGCAGACTTAGTTCTTTTATACAAAAATATATACTTTGGCAATGTCAAATTAATTGCTGTTTTCCTTTTCGTAAAAAATCTCGCAAAGTATAATATTTATATATTGTTGTGTGTACGTGCATATATTTGGAGTTTGCGTGAATGAGTTGTAATGGATGTGTGCTTGCAGTGACATGTATTAGTATGTGGGTGATATTGATGTGCATGGGTTTTGAGATTATCCTATTACGTTTTTTACACCACGGTACGAGTTAACGTGTTATACTTTTGTATAAAACTAAAACTATAACTCGTTTTGAAAAAAATGCATGAATACCTCTTTAAAACCACCTGAAGAAACCAATGTTTAGGGCCATATAAGCAATTTAGATTTAAAATAAGATATTTAAATTCATAGAGGCTATAAAACAGATTATTGATAGACAATGCTAGGATAACACGGTGCTGATGTGTCTGGTAGGTAGAAGGGAAAGTATGCATATATAATCGATTTTACACAGAGAAGAAAACCTACTTCATTCTTTAAGACATTCAAGTTTATTTGCGTGGATAGTTAGTGGATGGGGTTGGTGGCTGACCCATTAATCAGGCGACTCGGAGGCTGGGCTATAGATGCTTGAGGTGAGAATAATGCTAGAGGATATTCTGATGACAAAGTGTCCGCACTAACCTCGGCATCACATATGGGCGCCCCTTGGTAAGCAAGGGACAGTCCAGGTTGAATGAGGAAGTGTGTACGGGCCGGCGAAGGGACACCAACACAACCAGAGCACCCATGATGAAAAATGGAGTCGAGCAGTCTGAGCAATCTTGCCAACCATAATTAGATTCGTCCTTTTTTCTAACGCCAATTCCTTCACGATAATATTAAAACAGGAATTCTTTAACAGAGGTTTCAAGGGAGAATTGCACTACTATATATTATCATGTGCGTTTATTATTGCTCATACTCCATTTTCATTGCTTGCTCAACATTTCCTTAGTCAGCCTACATGTTCGTAAGTCCTTAAGGACGGCCGTATTGATCCCGATCCCAGT